TCACCGGAATCTAACCTGGGACCCTTCAGTCCGCAGGCCGACGCTCTATCCACTGAGCCAAACCGGCTTCGGCTTGGTTTTTTTTTAAATATATTTTTATTGATTTCAGAGAGAGAAGGAGAGAGAGCTAGAAACATTAATAATGAGAGAGAATCATTGATCAGCTGCCTCCTGTACGCCCCCCACTGGGGATCGAGCCCACAACCCTGGCATGTGCCCTTGACCAGAATCAAAGCTGGGACCCTTCAGTCCACAGGTCGTCGACGCTCTATTCATTGAGCCAAACCAGCTAGGGCTAGTTTCTTTTCCTATCTGCCTCTCTTGCTACTCTTTTAACCTGGAACACATCTTGCTTCATCCTGTTTATTTTTTATCTCCCCTTTAGAATGCTAGTTCTATGACAGCAGGGTTGGTTTCTGTCTTCACTGTTTGGTTCCAGAACAGTGACTAGCATACAGCAGGTGCTCAATAAATGTTTGTGAAATAAATGAAAGCAAACGCAAATGATGGTCATTTCAGTAAGTGGTACTCGCATCAGCACTCTAACAGGTTAAGGAAACTGAGGCGCAGAGGGAGCAGGTGAACTGCCCAAGGTCATGTAGCATGTGAGTGGAAGTGTCGGGATTTGAACCCAGGCAGGCCTTGATTGAAAATGGCAATCACATCTGATCCTCCTCAGTATCCTGAAGATCCACTTTACTCATATCTCTCAAATCTTGGAGCCCAGAATGGGAGAGACCAACCTACAGGGAGGCAAGATGACTTTCACCTCCTTCCCCTAATGCCTGTTGGATATTAGGAAGCATCAGAATCATCTGGAAGAACCTGTTAACATGCAGACTTTAGGTTAGGCGTTGCAGTGAGAGACTCTGATTTGAATAAATCTGAAGTGACCCCAGCAACGCCTGTTTTTCACCAAACACCTCCAGGGATCATCTTGGGACCGCAGTCTAAGAAGGTTCCAGACTCCAAAATCTCAATAGAATTTCTTGCATTGATGGAACTAGGCCATATTAGCCTGCCCACTTCTGGGCTATTTAGCACTTGAAATTTGGCCAGTGTGATGCAGGGACTAAATGTTAACTTTAATTAATTTAAATGTAAATAGCCATGATTGCCATTAGCAACTCCACAGTGTGCACCTCTGGTTTCTGCAGCGTCCAGGCAGCTGAACTCTCCTGGCATTATACCACCAAGTCAACAAAAATTCTTAAGTCTCACCGTATCATTGTTATGAATGACATGGTAGCTTCCACATGTCACTGCATAATTTTGGAATATTTCTTTTAATAATGATATCAAGATTAAGCCCAGTGCCTGGCCGGCATGGCTCAGTGGTTGAGCATTGACCTATGAACCAGAAGGTCACAGTTCGATTCCTGGTCAGGGCACATGCCCGGGTTGCAGGTTCGATCTCTAGTGTGGGGTGTGCAGGAGGCAGCCAATCAATGATCCTCTCTTATCATTTATATTTCTATCTCTCCCTCTCCGAAATTAATAAAAATATATTTTAAAAATATAATAATTAAAAAAATATATTAGACTCAGCTGCAAATAGAAAATAAAATATTAGTAATTTAAAAGAAATGCGTGCCTGACCCTTGGCTGGAAACTTCATCCACGTTCATCAAATAAATGGACTCTCAGGCTTGCGGGAAGTCAGGGGAGAGAAATGGATTTCTCATATAAAAGAGTTTCAGAGGGAATTGGTCTGGGTAAGAAGGACAGATGCCTACTTATTAACATCCAGGCTCCCATCTGTCTGCCTGTCCACCCGTCCACCCATCCATCTACCTAAGTCTATCTGTTTATTTATCATCTACCATCCATCTATCCACCTAAATACTTTGTTTCCTAAGAACAAGGCATTCTCCTAACCTCAGTAAAATTACCAAAATCAGGAAAATCTACAAACCTTTACCAGATTTCACCAAGTGTCCCATTACTGACCTTTATAGCAGAAGAAAATCCCAGAGCACTTGTTGAATTCATTTATCTTTTCAGTCTCTTCAATCAGTTAGGCGTTGACCTGTGCACTGAAAGGTTGAAGGTTGGAGCACATGCCCAGGTGTGGGCTTGATCCCCAGTAGGGTGGGGGTGGGGGGGTGGGGGAGGTGGCCCATCGATGTTCCTCTCCCTCTCCCTCTCTCTCTAAAAGTCAATTTTTAAAAATCAAAATAAATAAATAAAGGATAGTTTCTGAACCTCTATCTTTTGTGAACTTGACATTTTACATCGATGAAAGAGAAACATCGATCAGCTGCCTCCTGCACAACCCCCACTGGGGATGTGCCCACAACCAAGGTACATGCCCTTGACCGGAATCGAACCTGGGACCCCTCAGTCCACAGGCCGACGCTCTATCCACTGAGCCAAACCGGTTTCAGCTGAACTTGACATTTTAGAAAAATATAGGCCCGTTACTCGATAGAATGCCCTTCAACTTGGATTTGTCTGGTATTTCCTCATGATTACATTCAGGCTATGCATTTTTTTGGCAAAAATATCACAGAAGTAATGTGTTTTTCTCAATTGGCCTCACTACCAGCCATGCTAACTTCGATCACTTGGTTTGATCACTTTGATCACAAGTTTCTCCACTTTAAAGTTACCATTACCCCCTTTGCAATGATTACCTGTCTTGTAGGGTGGTACTTGGAGACTCTGTAAATAGCCTGTTACTCATCAAACTTTTACTCCTTTAGCAGCCATTCTTGTCTGAATCAATTATTACTCACTGGATATCTTTAGGAAAATAGGAGGACGTCACATCATTTTATTTGTAGATATGCCACTTTTTATCTTCAAAAGAAAATAATACCTATTTTTTCAACTTAAACACAACACCATGATTATACTTATCAAAAATATCAGTCAGGCCGAAACCGGTTTGGCTCAGTGGATAGAGCGTCAGCTTGCGGACTGAAGGGTCCCAGGTTCGATTCCGGTCAAGGGCATGTACCTTGGTTGCGGGCACATCCCCAGTAGGAGATGTGCAGGAGGCAGCTGATCAATGTTTCTCTCTCTCGATGTTTCTAACTCTCTATCTCACTCCCTTCCTCTCTGTAAAAAATCAATAAAATATATTTTTTTAAAAAAATTAAAAAAAAGTATCAGTCAGCCCTAGCTGGTTTGGCTCAGTGGATAGAGCATCAGCCTGTGGACTGAAGAGTTCCCGGTTCAATTCTGGTCAAGAGCATACTCCCGGGTTTCGGGCTTGATCCCAAGTCGGGGCGAGGGGCGGGGGGTGCAGGAGGCAGCTGATAAATAATTCTCTCTCATCATTGGTGTTTCTAGCTCTCCCTCTCCCTTCCTCTCTGAAGTCAATAAACATTTTTTAAAAAAAGTATCAATCAGTGTTAAAATTTCCCCATCTGTCTGTTTTCCTTTTTTTATAGATGTACCTTTTATTATTTTTTAATACAATCTATTTTGCTTTCCCAAATTTATTCACAATCCAGTATATTTAACATACGTTTTCAGACATTTTTCTCTTCTTCAATGTTTATTGAAGTTTACATTCCTTCAAATTCTCATTTCAATCTTACCCTTATATGATAAACCTCCTACAATCATGATCATCTAACCACTGTTTTCTTAACATTTTATTTATTTGAATTCGAATTCACATAAGGTCCTCACATACATTAGTTATTGGATTTCTTAAGTATTGTTTAACAGCCTTCCCTTGTTAAACAATAGGCTTAACCACCTATTTAACCTTGTTTAACTGAGGTTGAGTAATTCATCTGTTGAAGAAACAGGTTGTTTGCCCTGGCGAGTTCCCTAATTTGGTATTAGCTGATGGCATCCCCTTATGTCATGTTTCTCATTCCCAAGTCAGATTTGAGATTGAAATTTTTGGCTTCAATTCTTTACAGGTGGTGCTGGAAACTTCCAGCAGGGGGATATGATCTTTCGATGTCTCTCCCTTTTACTGGTGACTAAGACTGATCAGGGGGTTCAGAGGCCATCAGTCCGATCCCACCTCCAACCATTCCCTAACGGTCCGATCATCCATGAACAGCTGTTGCCTGGACCCATCGCTGCATGAGCAGTCTTCAAAGGGTTTCTAACCTGTCTCCCCATCCTCACATCCTGGCCAGTTTTCTCATTTGTCTACAAGGCAAATGTACTTCCCCCAAAATCAAACCCACAACCCTGGCGTATTGGTCGCCGCTCTAACCAACTGAGCTACCCAGCCTGGGGCAGGACTCTGCATTTTTACTCTGCGCCACTTCTGATGTGAATCATGCATGACTTACAAATGCTGGTCTGGGGGCTGATAAAGGACTGTGAAGATACTGCCTCGAGGAAATATAGGACAAGGTCGTTGCTTTCTCATTTCCTCGTGGCTAAATCAGTCATTCTCATCCAGGATGATGCCATACCTCCAGAGGGCATTTGGCAATTATAGAGACACTTGGTTTTCCCACCTGGGGGTGGCAGTGCTACCGGCCTGGGTAGAGGTCAGACACGTTGCTGGTCGCCCTGAAATGCACAGGACAGTCCCCCATGACCAAGACTATCCGGCTCCGAACGTCAGCCGAGCTCAGCTTGAAGAACAGCATGTGTCCCTCGGGCTCCTTTCCCCTGGTCAGCTGGGTCAGGACGGCTAGGCCACAGCTGATAGAGTGAGGAAACTTCTAGAGCAGTGGTTCTCAACCTTGGCTGCACCTTAGAATCACCTGGGGCCACAACATAAGTAACAAAGAAACAATTTCCGGAGGATGAGGCCCAGAAAAATCAGGATTTTAAAAAGATTCCCAGTTGATTCTAATGTGCAGCCAAGGTTGAGAACCACTGTGCTAGAGACATCCCCCATGCGCCAATTGGAGACTCTGGCCACATCTCTTTGCCAGGTACTGTTAATAACCTGGTGATCGCCTTTGGAGAGGCGGTGGTGGTTAATTAGTGGTTATTTCCCCAGGTAGGAGGAGCTTCACGTGCCGTGTCTCTGATATAATGGCCGGGGCAGGCCCACTTCTCATCCCTGCTCAGTGCGGTGCGGACGCTTTTCCTTGCAGTTCAGGAGCAGACGCTGTTGTGCTTTTACTTCCTGTGCCAGAAGGTGGGTGACTCACCTAGGTCTCAGCCCTGTTTTTCTCCAGGGCCCGGTGGCTGTAATGGCCTGTGGGGACCCAGGCAGGCTGATGTGGGCTGGGCTGAGGGGGGGAAGGAGGGCTAAAGGTCTTGGAAGGAAGAAAGGAAGCCCAACGTTGAAGTATGTACATGAGAGAAGTGGGGATAAGTACTGTGATGACTTATCTAAACAGAACCGGGTGCTGGTGACTTATATAAACAGAATCAGGTGATATGTACTCTTTTATGCCTGCGTTCTTGCACACAGACGAATGTTTGTTTGTTTTTGAGATTTGTCTATAGTTTTGCATGGAGCTGTCAAGTACTCGTTCTCGATACTCAATACTAGTGTTCCGCAAACTAGGCCAAATTCACCCCGTGGCCTGTTTTTGTGTGGACTTGAAGGTAAGAATGGTTTTTCCATTTTTAATTAGAAAAAAATCCAAAGAAAACAATGTTTTGACATGTGAAAATAACATTCAAATTTCAGTGTCAATAAATAAAATTGAACACAGCCATGCCCACTCATTTACAAAAGCATCTGGGGCGGCTTTCCCTCTACAAGGGCAGAGTTGAGCTGTTGTGACAGACAGTATGGCCCACAAATTCTAACATATTTACTCTCTGACCCCTTACAGAAAAAGTTTGTGACCCCAGGGTATCGTATTCCACTGTGTAAGTCGGCAGCTGTCCTTGTTTCTATTGGTGTTAGATGTCTACATGGCCTTCAGTTATTGGCTGTTGTGAAGAGAGCGGCTAGGAACATTTTTGTACATCATTTGGTGGGTGTGAGCACGCATTCCAGGAGTGGAGTTGCTGGGTCATAGGGCAGGCATATATTTAGCTTTAGTAAGTAAAGCTAACTTGTTTTCCAAAGTAACTGCGCCGTGTTCAACTCCCCCAGCAGCACAGGAGCGTTCTGCTGTTGCTAACAATCGCCAATTTTCTTTTTTCATTAGAGCCACCCTGGTGTGGGTAGGAGCTGATATTGCATGGAGGCTTTGCATTTCCCTGATGACTAATGAAGTTGAACAGCTTCCCGTATGAGTCCTTGCCGTTTGGATATCCTCTTTTGTGAAATGCCTGTTCAGCATTTTTGTCTACTTAGTAAAAAAGGAGTTGTCTGTCTTTTTACTAATTTGGAGGAGTCCTGCGTGTATTGTAAACATGCGTGCTTGGTCGGCATTTACGTGTGGCTTGTCTTTAGGGGGTACCTTTAATGAACAAATTCATTTTAATATAGCCTCAATGTTTTCCTTGATTAATGTGCTTTGTGGCCTGTTAAACACGTGCCTATCTCAAAGTCACAAATATGGAGAATATAGATGTCTTATTTTAAAAGCTTTCTTTAATTTTTTTAAAATTTACTGACCTTAAAAATATATATT